CCAACTTTATTAAAAACAGAAGATAGCAGAAGAACACGCATACTGCCATAAATGTCGGGATGATTTGTAATACAGCAGAGAGCTTTGGGCTGTCAATGATCTAACAAAGATGAAACATGGAAACACAATTCCTCCCATCTCCTCCCCTTAAACTAAGTGTTTGAAGATCTCTTGGGAGAAAACCAGAAGTGGACTCATTATACTAGCGAGTTTGGTTCTCGTATTAGTAACAAATTCTGTAGCTGAGCAGGAGCTCAGGCAATTAATCATTTAATTTAATCAATTTATAAAGCTGCCCATCTCAAGAAGTGATTCTGGATGGTGAACATTATCCAATAGAAATAAAAACAATTACATCATAAAGACAAAAATTCAAGCACATAGAAACTTAAGTAAAACACCAGTCAACAGAGCTAATATAACCAGGAGATGGATCCTTCCACACTCTCGGGGCCTAATAAATCTGTAGTTCAATTTTGATAAATTTTGGCCCAAAGGTGCTTTTTCAAGAGGCAACTGGACTTTGTTTTTCCTCTGAAGACATTTTGCTTCTCATCCAAGAAGCTTCACACAACATAGTCCTTTCAGCAGTTCCAAGAAGGCTCCATACCCATTTGCACTACTCAGGTGGCCCTGAAAACACAGATAAACCTCCAAATGGCCTCAGCGACTCTCTAAACGAATGCAAATGACCAGCTGTCTGCAAGGAGTATAAATCTTTCCATTCCCCACCATCCTCTCAGAGCTGAAGAAGCTTCTTGCATGAGAAGTGAAATGTCTTCAAAGAAAAAACAAGAAAGTCCAGTTGCCTCTTGAAAAAAGCACCTTTGGGACAACTGACCTGGATGACTGAGAATCTCCATAGACGATAAATTTTGGCGTTCTTGAACCAGAATTCTGCACTTGGTTCAAGTTGGTGGGTCCTTTAGTAAAAGAAAAAAGTAGCTTTTTCAGTCCTGACAGTTGTCCACCCTTGGTTTAAGAGTCAATATTGCAATCTAATGCTTGTCTTCTCAAATGTCAGACATATTTTATTCAAAGTAGCTTATTTTGAGCAGGTAGGGATGGGTAGACAAGATGATTCCTGTTATAAGGATTAAGAATTTTAGTCCCAAGGGCTCCCTTCTCCTATTTGAACGACTGCATTTTCATCCCACAGAGAGAATCTAGTAAGTCAGTATTTTTCCATCAATGCTATTCTGACAACAGGTGATTCTGCTTAATAGTATACAAAACAACTGTACAAAACAATGCTACGGCTTTGCTAACTTCAGATTGGGAATGAGAGCTTGTAAAGTAACATTGTGCTCTTTATTGTCTACTTTCTCTGTCCCATCTTTAGATCTTCATACGTTTTCCCAGTAGATGTAGCACATCCTGCCACCTCGAGCAGCTTAGACTTACTATTTGTAACTGGAAACCCTTAATATTTTTCTCACTGTTATAACCCAGAAAGCTGTACTGTACTATCTGTGATGAACTCTATGAAATGAAAAAACGCACCAAACCCTCCAAACGGCAAGAAGACATCATAGGGTGAGATGGGGAAGCAAATGATAAAATAAGCAAGTCTGACTGCCATGTTTAAAAAGATCCACTTGAATGTTGGAAGTTTGAATATGGATTTCAAAAAGCAAACAATTGGATTTATAGAAGACGAAATACCAAGTCCACCATTAGAGATTTCTGTACATGTAATGAATCCCTCAGCTGGTGTCCTCCAGCTATGCCAGACTATAACTTTCATCTATCTTTGCATGGAGCATGGCGTGGAAAGCATATAGGAACCTCTTTGTTTAGGGTTCCAGTTGTTTTCTTTTACTGCATCCATTCCCAAAGGCCCTAGAACTACCCAGCTGCAAGGAATACCTCTCTCACATTCTTTTAATCAATCACTTAGTCCAAGAAACAATATTGACATAATTAGGTCAAGAGTTCTGAAGCTCCTTGGCTCTGGTTATTATTTTGCAATTCTAGAGAAGACCGGTTTTTGGGAAATACAGATCCAAAGTCAGCCAACAATCTGCTTGTTACTTTAACTAGCAAAACAAAGTGAATCATACAGTTTTCCTAAGATTTTCCTAAAGTAGGCCATACACATGTCTATTTGTCTTTTCAGAAAATGATTGCTATCTAACATGCTATATCCAAAATCTAGGAGAGAGGGAAGCCGAGGCATGATAATTTTATGGATTTAAATAGTTTATACACCTATTGAAGATTATAATTTCACCCAGGTTTTTCCTTGTGAAGAGTAGAAAGAAATCTTTATAATTTTCTTCTTCCTCCTTTCTATTTTAATGTACATATTTAATATTGTTTTAATTTATGCTTGCTTTATTATTTTTAAAAGAGCCATTTATTCCTGTTCTTCATTGACAATATTTTCCAATAAAAAGCAGGGGTCTTAAAACTTGGCAACTTTAAGACTTGTAGACTGCAACTCCCACAATTCCCCAGCCAGTGTGGGAATAAAAAAAATGCCAAGTTTGGAGACCCCCTGCAATAAAGAATTGACTATCATCTTCTAATGGGACTGAAGCTCTCATCATTCCTAACCAGCATGAAGAATGACAAGGAATGGCAGTCTAAAACATACGAAAGGGCAATTGCAACTGATACAGGTAGTCCTGGAGTTATGACCACAATTGAGCCCAAAATTTTTGTTGCTAAGAGAAACATTTGTTAAGTGAGTATTGCCCCCATTTTATGACTTCTCTTGACACAGTTGTTATGGTGAATCACTTAAGTTGTTAAATTAGTAACATGGTTACTAAAGTGAATCTGGCTTCCCCATTGACTTTGCTTATCAGAAGCTTGGCAAAAGGTGATCACGTGACCTCAGGACATTTCAACAATCATAAATCGATGCCAGTTGCCAAGCGGCTGAATTTTGATCATGTGGCCATGGGGAAGCTGCAACGGTCGTAAGTGTGAAAAATGGCCATAAGCCACTTTTTTCAGTGTTGTTGTAACTTCGAATGGTTACTAAAACAAATGGTTGTAAGTCAAGGACTACCTATACTCTGTACAGTTTGGAATCATCTACAAATTTAGCCAGCTCAGGGCTTAATCCGAAATCAAGAGCCTTTATCAAGAATTTAAAAAGCAATGGTTCCCAGCACAGGGATCCTCAAGGGCCTCCATGTCTTTTCTCCTCTGAGAAAAATGCCTGCTTATTCCTACTCTTTGTTCTCTCTTCTTTAAGCAGTTGGTAGGTCATAAAGAAACATTTTATCTCATCCCACAGACACTATGTTTACTCAAGAGTCATCGATGAAAAACTTTGTGAAGGGCTGTTGAGAATCCAAGTACAGCATCTTGTTTCTATTCACATATTTGTTGACACTCTAAAAATCTGCCAAAATTTGATGGAGCTAAATTTACTTTTGTGGAGTTCCAGCACTGAGACTGATTTGAGCAACAAATTACCTATTTTTGCTAGATCAGCAATTTTACATGAGTTCTTCAAGAACTCTTGGATGGATACATTTAGGCCTCAGTGTGTTGTTGAAAATGTGAGAAAATATGCTAAAATGGCAGAAAGCAGACACATAATTTGAGACCCTGTCTTAAAGGAAGGGAGGATAAATCTATATGTTGTTAAGAAATCATGTGTGACTCTAATACAGTTGTTCCTCAACCTTAACTTTAAGAATTCTGGACTTCAACTCCCAGAATTCCCTAGCCAGCATGCTGGCTGGGGAATTCTGGGAGTTGAAGTCCTCACCTCTTAAAGTTGCCAAGGTTGAGATACATTGCTAATAGCTATGATATCTGACTCCCTACTCCTATCACCTCAATTCCTTCCATTTTATTAAACCATCTTAGCTCCTTGCTTTTATTAATTGTGTAATAAATTACAAATATATCTGTATATCTATTAACACTATGACAGGATAAGGGCATGTGTACAATTGTCTTCTTATGCAACTTCCCGAAGACAGACTTAGGCTCTTCCCAAGTGAGGAATTTTGCATTCTTGGGGTACCACAGAAGCCATTCTGCCTGTTCCTTCCAGACTAAAAAGGAAAAAAATGTAGACATTCCTAAAGCAAATTAAAATAACAACCACCATAAGGATAATAATAACCACAACTTCTTTGGCTCAATTTTTAGCTTCTCCTCCACCCCCAGTACAGAGAAAACAACAAGAAAGGTTTCTGACGACGTCTCCAAAAGATTTTTAGACATAGACATTTCCTTTTTCATATCATTCTTGTAACCTGTCATTTTAAAATCCACATTCAAATCAGCCTCTGTCTTGTCCAATAAAACTACTTTCTCTTCTATAACCTCTTTTGAACCTGGCTTTATGACAGCAGACAATTTTAAGAGTTTCTCAGTGCACTGTTCTCAAAAATCCATGAATTCTTCAAAAGGTAAGAATATTTTGCTCCATTCTGCATAGTAGATCTCTCTTTAATTATAATATTTAGTTCTTTCTGGTTCCTTCTAGTGGTCCAAGCTTCAAAGTCCCATCTTATCTTTTCCCCCCAATCAACAGCATTTTCTCATGGCAACATTTCTTATACACTTTCAAAAATAAACATATTTACAATCCACAGGAAGGATTCTTGTAATTAATTTCAACATCTTATTTAAAATCCATCTGGCCCCTTAGTCTGTTTATAAATTTCCAAAATCAAACTTCTAATCAGCCACTTGCTGTTTTGTCCAAACTAAGAATATTTTGGAGTTCTTAAACTTGCATAAAACTTGCATTAATCACATTTGTATGACTTTTAATTTTATGTTTTTATCAGGTTCTGATAATGTCAACACCCCAGAGTCTTGCCAAGTGGCCGATATGTACTTTTTCTTTTGCTAAATAAATAAATATTCCATGAGCAGGGGGAAAAATACTTAAAAGAGAAATAGGTGGTACACTCCCTGGAGTAATTGAGGTTCACACATGAGGGCAGGCATACGTCACGTATGTGTTCATTCATGCCTTTTTTAATGATCTTCAAAATAGGTCAGAAACATTCAGAAAATACCTGAATCAAGTCCAGGGCAGGCAAAGGGTATCGCTCACTGGGAATAATCACAATGCAGTTGCCACGAGTAATGGCTGGAGCAAACAAGCTGACAAAACTGAGGAGGGGGTGTTCGTCTGGACAGGCAATTCCCAGGACACCAACAGGTTCTTGAAAGTGAACGCAGGCACCATATAGAGTGGTTTCCTGCAGCAGAAAAAGACACAAGCAAAAAGTTCAAGGTTTATAGAGAGAATAAAAATTCTCCCATTAACAAAATCCCCACCCGAAAGCTTCTAATTGCCAGCCTCCATTTCCTTTCCAAATCAATCCGTTGAAATATCTATATGGAAGAGCCTTGGTGGCACAGTGGTTAGAATGCAGTATTGCAGGCTAACTCTGCTGACTGCCAGCAGTTCGATCCTGGCTGGCTCAAGGTTGACTCAGCCTTCCATCCTTCCCAGTTCGGTAAAATGAGGACCCAGATTGTTGGGAGAAATATGTTGACTCTGTAGACCCCTTAGAGAACGGTATAAAGCACTGTGAAGTGGTATATAAGTTACTCTAAGTGCTATTGCTAGTTCTTTGATTTTCGTTTTCATACATATCTTTCTTTTCTTTTCTCATGAGGACTTCCAAATCCAAAAGAGAGTCGCCAGACCCCTGCAGCCCCAATGTTAATCTTGCAAGGCAGGCCAGACAAGAAGCACACCCAAAGTACTAGCTATAACTGCATAATAAAGTTACATCCACAGACTCCTTCCAGTCTGAGAATCCATCTCTCTCTGCTTACCTGTCAGATTGAAGAACCTCGGGAGGGTCCCTTCTGAGATGCTTGCCTCACCCTCTCATTGCTTCTGTGGACTCAGCTGCCTCTTATCTAATATTGCCTAGTCTGTAGCTCTTCCTCCTGTCTCCCAAGCATATTCCTACATACCCTCAGTCACTGGTATATACAGGGCCAGTATCTGCAGAGGGGAGTCTTAGCCCTGCCTATGGTATGCATAGAAGCCTCCACATGACCTGAGTGTTGCCGTTGGGGCATTTTAGCTTGGGAAAGTCCTCTATGTTTCCAATTGCACCCAGCAAGGTCTCCTCTTTGCTGATGTTCACATGCAAATACAGGGCACTCTGCAAGAGGAGTGTCTTTGTGCAGAACCACTATTTTTCAGTACTTCTAAGAATACCTACGTAAAGAGGGAAACTGCCAACCTGCCAAGAAGACCAGACAGAAAACATAACAGGATGAGCTAATTGTACTTTGTTGCGAGGCTACATTAACAGAACCTTGCAAGCCTGAAAGTACAATTCTCCCAACTTTTTTTAAAGCCAAATTATTTATGGCAGATCTTTTCTAAGTTTCTTTCCTTGTCCATTATTTGGTTGCAGGCTCCTCCCTCTTTTAACTGATTATTCCCTAGGCATTGTGGGGGGGGGGGCTCATTCCGTTATAGGAATAGAATCATATAAATTAAAGATGACACTTCCAAGGACCTTTGATTAGATTTCCCAAAATTGTTCTGGAAGGATATAACTGGGTTATACAACTCATAGATTGATTGACTTGCCTACCTACTACCATTATGGCCAACTCTGATTGGCATTAACTTTCACAACTGTCTTCACTTTTGCATTCTTCAGATATAGGGACCATGTCCCAGATATCTTTAGCCAGGATAGGCATTGCTGTGGCTTCTGTGGATCGAATTCCACATATCTGAAGGGCACCAAAGTTGGAGAAAGTTATTCTAGAATCTTGAGCAAAAATACCTTTTTGTTAATTTTTTATAGCAGGGGTTGAACCCAATACCTTCTGTTCATAAAGCTAATTCTTGGGCACACATACATTCAGCCACATTCCATCCACCAACAGTTTCAGAGTGCAAAGTGTATGTACCCAAGGACAAGGCCTTGCTATTCTCACCTGCACAACTCCACCACATTTGTCAGAGTAAGCTGCCCAATAAAATAGTCGCCGCACACTAATATCCACCTCCATCAAAGCTTTCTCTTTTTCTATACCCATTAATGATTCCAGCTGTGATGCAATCTCAGCTCGACGGAGTTCCAGATTTTCAGCCAGGTAGTACAAGATCTGTGCCCGGGCATGTGCCGTTTTCTTCGCCCATCTGTTATGAGACCAACCCAAAGTTAGAAAGGAAAACTAGCAACGTTGTTCATAGAATAACCCTTCTTGAGGATGTATAACCAACTTTATTGCAACAAGAAAAAAGGTATTTAGCCCAGGATGCCAACTTTGGGGTAGCGCGGTGGCTCAGCAGTTAAGAAGCCGGGCTTGTCAGCTGGAAACCCAAGTTCAAGACCCAAGCACCATGTGACAGGGTGAGCTCCCGTCCTCACCTCAGCTCCTGCCAACCTAGCAATTTGAAAACATGCAAATACGAGTAGATAAATAGGTACCACTACAGTAGGAAGGTAACAGTACTCTGTGACCTCATGTTGTCCACATGATCGTGGAAAAGTCTTTGGACAGTGCTGGCTCAATGGTCTTGAAATGGAGATGAGCACTGCCCCCTATAATTGGCAATGACCAGCAGAGTAAAACCCGCAGGGACTCCTTACTTTATGCCAACTTCCACAGCAGCTAAGTGAATGCCCCCAAAAGCAGAAAAAGGCAAGGGAACGTCAATCAACCAATCAATTCGGCCAATTTGCTTCCCTAGGAATCATTTTCAGGACATGTGAACTAAATCCAGCCTTTTCTAAATGCAAACTCCAGGAGTAAGAGTAACATTTGCTACTTTAGCAGTAGCAAGAGCAAACCTAGAGATAAGCAAAGAGGGAACCGCTAGCTGAGGAATTCTGAGAGTTGAAGTCCATACATCTTAGAGCTGCCATGTCTGGGAAACACGGATCTGTATCAATTTATTTATTTGTCAAATTTTGAAACCGTCCATAGTGGCTCAGAGAGGGACTCTGGGCAGTGCACAAGTGAACTATTAAAACCTAAAAATAGTATATAAAATTTGCAAGAAGGATGTTAAAAATTTAAAAGGTTAAAGGTTAATTAAGGCTGGGCAGAAGACATTCAAGGCCACTTAACCCCATGGCTGCGTGCTCCTCTGTGAGCCCCAAGCGAGGTGGAAGAGACATGTTTTCACATCTTTCTAGAAAGAAAGGGGTAGCCTTATGTTGGGGGGGGGGGGAATGGCAGAGAAGACTCTCCTCCTGGACCCCACCAGTTGAAATGCTTTAGCTGATGGGGTGCACAGCATACTGTACCTTCGCTGCCTGACTGGGGAGAATGGGCTGATGTAATGGAGAAAAAGACGGTTCCATAGGTAATATGGACCCGTCCAAGTAGGGCTTTAAAGGTCATAACCGATACTTTGAACTGCACCTAGAAGCAAATTGGCACCCAATAAACCTTGCACAGCAAAGGTGTTACAAGCACCATTCTTTGGGTGCCCAAGATTGCTCGTGTGGTTGCCTTCTGTGCCAGTTGAAGCTTCTGGTTACTTTTCCAGGGTAGCCCCATCTAGAGCAATTGCAACAGTCCAGACAGGAGATGTCCAGGGCACAGAATGGGACAACTCGTCGCAGCCAATTTGCTGCGGTCAAGTCGCCTCGGTCAACTCACCACGGCCAACTCACCGCAGGAGAACTCGCCGCTGTCAACTCGCCGTGAGTCAATTCAACAATTCAATTTAATTATTTACAATAATTAAACATTATTTTAATTTTTGTCATTCAGCTTTCATTTTGTCCCTCCTTTGGCATCCTTTCTTTAATGATTCTATTTCACTATTTTTTTCAATATCAACTTGTCCCGTGGCGAGTTGGCCACGGTGAGTTGTCCTAGACCAGTGATGGTAAACCTTTAAGAGACTGAGTGCCCCAAAACCGCCCACGCCCCACCCCGCCTGCTCTGCCCCCACCCTGCCCCCAGCCCGTCCCCCCGCAGGGCCACTCATCACCTCCACGGCCCACCGCAGATTGCTGAGGCAGCCCAGCAGCGCCATAGTGGCGCCTCTGCCCGCGCCCCACAGCATCATCGATGAAGATGTTGAAGAGCCCTGGGCCCAGAACAGAGCCTTTAATTTAACTATTAAGGCAAGACAAAATGTTAATTAACACAGAACAAGGAACATTGTAGGGTGCTTGTCTTGAAGTATGTAGTGGTGAGTATGCTAATAAACCACAGAAACCTCTGTCTATAGATAGTCCTCAACTTACTGAATCAGGAATTAAAGTCATAAGTCATGGCAGTTGTTAAGCAGGTCACACCAGATTTTACATTTTTCTTGTGGCTGTTATTAAGTGAATGCCACGGTCCTTAAGTAAACACAGTAGTCATACATTAAATCTGTTTTATCCAATGGGCATTTCTTGCAGAAAACCGGAAGTAAATGCTGGAAATTGGCAAAAACTGCTGAAAATTGTGGTCATGTGACCATAGGATGCTGCAAACTACCAAAAATGCAAGCTGGTTGCCAAAGGTCCAAATGTGATCATGTGATACACATTCTCTCTTTCTTTCTCTCTCTGTCTGTATGCATGCATAGCTATTTAATTCTGGAACCAAGTCATAAGTCTTTGGGGGGGGGCACTGTAATTTCAAATGGTCGCTAAGCAACTGGTCATTAAGCAAGGGCTACTTGTCTGTATGGTAGCTTACAATCAGAGAAGAACCCCAAGTCCCTGGGTTAGATGGTAAGCTAAATGAAAGGTCGGGACTCACCCAGGGGCTGCTTTGTGAGCGGCTTCCACTGCATTATGGATGTCTTTCGCATTCCCATCGGCCACACAGGCCATTGCTTTGCCCGCGTGATCAAGGATGGCTCGGGAACTCAAGGAATCTGGCCTCTTCTGAGCACCACCGTAGTACAGCTTGTAGGTTCGGTCCACGCTGTGGGAGGGAGGGAGGGAGGGAGGGAGGGAGGGAGGGAGGAAGGAAGGAAGGAAGGAAGGAAGGAAGGAAGGAAGGAAGGAAGGAAGGAAGGAAGGAAGGAGAAACTATAATAGAGCCTTTGCCTCTTGTTCTTTTGAATCCATTTCAAAAGAAAGGCAACAAACTCTGGGTGCATGGATTTTACAGCTAGGTTGAGACTTCCCGAGGACGAGAGTCTCTAGAATGGAGTAAGCTGCAAAGTGGTTTGGTAAGTGAAAATGTCTGGATATTAGACATAGTCCTTCTATTAAGCTTAGTTCTTTATACTCAAAGGCTACAAAAATCCCCTATTTCCTCAAGACTGAGATACCAACGATGGCTATGAATCCTAGTTATTTAATGAGAAGGGAAAGGCTGTCTACCTGTGCTGAAATGCACCGTATCGTTGCTGGGCATGAGAGAACCAGCCCTCTTATTGATCATAGGGATAGTTCACATTCATACTGTACTCACTCCAAGGTTCAAATCCCTGCTCCCTCATAAAGCTTACTTATTGACCTGGACCCCATTATTGTTTTTAGAGTTTAGCTAAAGGTAGGGGAACTCTGTACATTGAACTTTGGAAGAAGGATTAGGTGTTGGGCAATGAATCAGAATAGATACTCAGATTTAAATGCTGGTGAACCCTTGATCCTAACCACTTTTCAAAAACTCATTAATGAGCTGCACTCCAGAACTAGGCAATGGCTCCATCTTAAAACAAAACTCAATGGTAAAGATCCTTTCCTGTTTTTTCTTAAGCCTCATTGTAAATTTCCATTCTTGCTGAAAAGTGAATTAGGATACATATCCCAGGTCTTGGCACTGGTTGTAAAGCTTCAGCAATTCTGGATAAAGTGCTATGGCTCATCTTTTCCCAATAAAAGTGTAGCCTAGAGATAAAGGGGGCTGACGCCTTTATTGTAGTGTTTAAGGTGTTAGACTAGAAGCCAGGAGACTGTGAGTTCTAGTCCCACATTTGACATGAAAGCTGGCTGGGTGACTTTGGGCCAATCACCAGGGAACTGTGAGTTCTAGTCCTCCCAGAGGCATGTACTTCTTCTCTCAGCCCAATCTACCTACCAAGGTTGTTGCTGTGGGAAAATAAAAGGCAGGAGCCCGATGCATACCACCTTGAGCTGTATAAAAAAACCAGGCAAAATATACATCTAATAATAATAATATGCAAACACCAAATTAGCACATATGCTCATGAGTTTAGCCACCCTTTTAGCATTCCCCACAATGCAAGGCTTTTGACAGGAGTGTTCACCGCAGGATAATTCACTATGGGATTAGTTCTTTTATTAATCATCATCAAAGCATTACAAAATACTTTGGTAGTCATAGAAATGATTTCCTTTGATACAAGAGCTAAAATAATTTTGATGAAAACATAGTCAACAAAAACAAAAATGGACGATCTGAAACTTGAGCTGGCCACTAACAAGGAGTGTACATCGGAGATGGTGACCCTTTGAGAGCTGTATGCCACGAAATTTCATTTTGATGTATGACAACTGGTGTACATTTAAAGTGATAGTAAAGATTATTATTATTGTTATTGTTATTATAAAAGGAACTAAGTGAATGCCACGGTGAGTTGTCCCATTCTGTTCCAAGGTACTGTAGCTGTGTAACGTCATCAAGTCTGATTCTCTCTCTTTTTAAAAAAAAAAAAAATCCTTACTACAAAGTGTGTGAAGTCATTTTCTGAGAAAATCAGGCACTTTCATACTTATTCTTACCTTGGAATGTCTCCTTTCAGCTCAGAAACTAGAGAGCAGGGAGTCTTGTCCCCAGGAATCACTGGGAGATCACTCTTTGGTGAGGTAGCAAAGTTTTTGTAATTCAGGTCCACACTACAAATGCGTGGTTGAATTTCCCAGATTGGTCTCACATATTCATAAAGTGCCTGGACAGAAAGAATTCAGAATGAAACTTGGAGATGTGCTGGGATGCCTCCCGCCAGCCAGTTACTTCCTCACTAACCTCTTTGCCTCCGTTCCGTCCATGGCCACTTTCCTTGTACCCTCCAAAGGCAGCTGCGGCATCTAACATATTGTGGCTGTTGATCCAGACTGTTCCAACCTGCAAACTAAGAATACAGAAGGCAAAAAAAAGGTGTGAAATATCAAGTATCGTGACACAAAAAGTGAAACACTTCTGCTCTTTCTGTATTCTTGGGAGACACTTGTGGACACATACCCAAATTCCTTGAAGGTGTAAGAACCTACACGGTAGAACAAACTGGACTGCTTCAGCTTATGAGAGCATGTGTAGATGAAATCTGCCTTTTTATAAAACATGCCATACAAGTAAAAATAAATAAAATTAGCCCAGTGGGGAATATTCTGATTTGGAACCTTTTGATGTGATACTTTCAGGAAATGAAATAGGAGGACACATTCAAAAACATCATGATGGTGATTGATTCTCCCATCTCAGCATTCAGTCACCTGATCCTACAAGGGGTTACATTTAAGAAAGGTTAGGCAACCTTGGTTCTTTTATGACTCGTGGACTTCAACTCCCAGAATTCCTGAGCCAACATGGCTGATTTCATCTACACATGCTGGCTGGCTCAGGAATTCTGGGAGTTGAAGTCCACGAGTCATAAAAGAGCCAAGGTTGCGTACCCCTGGGTTAGGGGATTGGCAATTTTCTGTAGAATCACAGCTGCTTCCCTGGGATGAACATTTCTTGCCTTATTGGATACTGAAGCTCTTGTATTACAGGTAGCCCTTGACTTACAACCACAATTGAGCCCAAAATTTCTGTTGTTAAGTAAGACCTTTGTTAAGTGAGTTTTGCCCCATTTTATGACCTTTCTTGCCACAGTTGTCAATGGAATCACCGCAGTTGGTAAGTTCGTAACCTGGTTGTTAAGTAAATATGGCTTCCCTATTGACTTTGCTTGTCAAAAGTTTGTGTAAAAGTGATCAGATTATCCTGGGACACAGCAATAGTCACAAGCATGAACCAGTTGCCAAACATCTGAATTTTGATCCCATGTTCATGGGGATGCTGCAAAGGTTAACTGTGAAAAATGATCACAAGTCACTCTTTTCAGTGCTGTTGTAACTTTGAACGTTCACTAAATGAACTGTTGTAAGTCGAGGGCTACTTGTACAGGGGGAAAACGATGATTTAGATTTCTGTGATTGGGAACTGAATGGTAGAATCCAGATGGAGCAGGGATCCAGAGGAGAGATCAGGACACCTTAACGAAGATCAGGCAGCACTTATAGTGATACCTGTGGGCAACTTCCAGTGCTAAGGAGAGAATTTCGGTCCACACACTAGCAGCCAGTCCATGAGGTGTGCTGTTCCCCAAAGTCACCGCTTCCTTGGTTGTCCGGAAAGTCAGGGATACCAGAACAGGTCCAAAGATCTGGAAAAGAAAATGCTTTAGATCATTTTTAAACAATGAGAATTCATTACCTCATAAACTCTGCCAAGGAGGCGAAGTTTGGCTGAGAACAGCAGAAGCTGCTGCATGATAGACACAGCAGATTAGTATGAATAGTTCAATTTAAACATTTTGTGTAGGATGAAAAGCAGCACTTTCTTCAAATTTTTAGGCTGAGGATGAGCAACCTGGAGCCCCAGGGCCACAAAACTATCCTGGAAGACTCCAGAGTCCCTTCACCACAGTAACCAAAATCTGGTGGTATGGAAAATACAGGGAATGTAGACAAAGATGTAGTATACAGGTAGTCCTCAACTTACAACAGTTCATTTAGTGATTGTTTGAAGTTACAACGGCACTGAAAAAAGTGACTTATAACCATTTTTCATACTTCATAACCATTGCAGCATCCCCATGGTCACGTGATCAAAATTCAGACACTTGGCAGCTGACTCAGGTTTATAACTGTTGCAGCGTCCCGGGGTCATGTGATCCCCTTTTGTGACCTTCTGAAAAGCAAAGTCAATGGCAAAGTCAGATTCGTTTAACAACCGTGTTACTAACGTAACAACTGCAGTGATTTATTTAACAACTGTGCCAAGAAAGGTCATAAAATGGGGCAAAACTCACTTAACAACTGCCAAGGACTGCCTGTACATTTGAAGCACATTTATTATAAAGGTAGTCCTCGATTTAAAACTGTAATGGAGCTGTCATGATAGTTATAAATTTTGCAACCGCTTCAGTCATAAAACAAATGCTGTAGTCATCCAATGAAGTAATGTTTTGTTACGGCTCTGGTTTTGTTGAAAAGTGACCGTAATTGCCGGTTTTTGGCAAAACCACCATAAAACACGGTGCCCAGTCCTGGGATGTTATAAACAGCAATAAATGCAGCGTGGTTGCTGAGTACCTGAAGTCTGGTCACATGGCTGTGGAGGGGGGCAACCAGTGGGATTTTAAATCCAGGTCACAAGTAGCCCCCACGTTGGCCTGTGTAACTTCAAACAATTCAGTCGTAAGTCAAGAACTACCCGTTTGTACAAAATGAAGAAACAAAGCTAAATGTCCATCTCTTATACCCAAAAAAGCTAGTGGGTGGGGACACAAGGCCCTTCTCCATGTATGTGATAATCGGTATCACCACTCACTGCACCCTTATTATATAAAGCCACTTTCCCATTAGGTAGTGCACCTAAGTATCTTCTTTATATTCGGTACAAATTCGTTAAACTTTGCTAATATAAGGTTTACTGTGGGTCCCCCCCCCCCATTTAATTCACCCTGCTGGATTAAAAGTCCTGGACAAGGTCAAGCTCTTCCTCTCTTTCAATCACAATTTGGTGTCACGAGAGGGCCCCCTGTTAGTTCATCAAGGCATAGCTTCCTTTGACAGTTGCCAAGGGTGGAAGAGAGTAACAACTGTTATGAACCTACAACTGTGCAAAGGGTTCAGGAGGGATGCTTTGCACACTGCAGTAAGCAAAGCATCCTCCCTCAATGCTTTAAAAAACAGCCACATCCTCTGAAAGGCAGGGAGTGACTAGAGGCAGGCCTCAACTTACGACCAGAATTAAGCCCAAAATTTCTGTTGCTAAGCGAAACATTTGTTAAATGAATTTTGCCCCATTTTATGACCTTTCTTGCCACAGAAGATAAATGAATCACTACAGTTGTTAAGTTAGCAACATGGTTGTTAAGTAAATCTGGCTTCCCCATTGACTTTGCTTTGCAGAAGGTCGCAAAAGGGGATCACATGAACCCTGATCCCCTAATGCAACCATCATGTATATGAGTCAGTTATCAAGCATCTGAATTTAATAATAATAATAATAATAATAATAATAATAATAATAATAATAATAATAATAATAATAATAATAATAATAATAATAATAAGTAGTAGTAGTAGTAGTAGTAGTAGTAGTAGTAATAGTAGTAGTAATAGGCAGGAAACTCTATACCATTTTGGACAAATGGCTGTCCAGTCTCTTCTTAAAAACTTCCAGTGTTGGAGCATTCACCGCTTCTGGAGGCAGGTTGTTCCACTGGTTAATTGTTCTAACTCAAGAAACTTCTCCTTAGTTCTAGGTTGCTTCTCTCTTTGATTAGTTTCCATCTGTTGCTTCTTGTCCTGCCTTCAGGTGCTTTGGAGAATAGCTTGACTCCCTCTTCTTTGTGGCAGCCCCTGAGATATTGGAACACTGCTATCATGTCCCCCCTCGTCCTTCTCTTCATTAAACTAGACATACCCAATTCCAGCAACCGTTCCTTATATGTTTTAGCCTCCAGTCCCCTAATCATCTTTGTTGCTCTTCTCTGTACTCTTTCTTTTTTACATCGTGGTGACCAAAACTGGATGCAGTATTCCAAGTGTGGCCTTACCAAGGCATTGTAAAGTGGTATTAACACTTCACGTGATCTTGATTCTATCCCTCTGTTAATGCAGCCTACCATTGTGTTGGCTTTTTTGGCAGCTGCAGCATACTGCTGACTCATATTTAAGTGATTGTCCACTAGGACTCTGAGATCCTCTCACAGTTGCTACTATTGAGCAAAGTACCACCTATACTATACCTGTGCATTTGTTTTTTCTTGCCGAAATGTAGAACCTTACTTTTTTCACCGTTGAATTTCATTTTGTTAGATAGCACCCAATGTTCAAGTCTGTCAAGATCCTTCTGTATCTTAAGCCTGTCTTCTGGAGTGTTGGCTATTCCTGCCAGCTTGGTGTTGTCTGCAAATTTGATGAGTTCCCCATCTATCCCCTCATCCAAATCGTCGATGAAGATGTTGAAGAGCACTGGGCCCAGAACAGAGCCCTGGGGTACCCCACTACACACTTCCCTCCATGTAGATGCAGTTCCATTGAGGACCACACGCTGAGTACGGCCGGTCAGTCAGCTACGAATCCATCTGGTAGTGATGCTGTGTAACCCACATTTTTCTATCTTATCAAGTAGTAGGTTGTGATCTACCTTATCAAATGCCTTACTGAAGTCCAAGTAAATTATATCCACAGCATTCCTCTGGTCCACTAGAAGAACTTAGTCAAAGAATGCAATAAGATTTGTCTGGCATGATCTGTTTTTGACAAACCCATGTTGGCTTTTGGTAATGACTTTGTTTGCCTCTAGGAGGTGTTCGCTGATTCGTTGTTTGATTATCTTTTCCAGAATCTTCCCAGGTATTGAGGTCAGGCTGATAGGTCTGTAGTTTCCTGGATTCAATTTTTTTTTCCTTTTTTGAAGATGGGAACTACATCAGTTCTTTTCCAGTCCTCTGGTAGTTCCCCAGTGCTCCAGGATCTTTGAAAGATGTTTTAGTTAATTTTAGTTAATTTTTTAGTTTAATTTTGATCACATGACCATGGGGATGCTGCAATGGTTGTAAATGTGAAAAACGGTCATGTCACTTTTGCCAGTGCCGTTGTAACTTTGAACAGTCACTAGCTTGAACTATTGTAAGTTGAGGACTACCTGTATTGCAGAGCTTTTCCCCAATTGTCTATCTGTGTATGTCTATCAGTTATCAGCAAAACAAAAATGCCTACACATGTATGTGGGAAAGTTTGGGAACAAGCACATGGAATCTTTTGGAGGATGGGGCTGCTTTAACATTTTGAGGAAGGGTATTTATTGGCATTCCTTCCTAATACTTTATACAGCCATAATAATCAGCAAACTTCAAACCTAGCATAGCACTAATCTTTTTTCAGCCTTCTATCTGCAAACCTAAATGTTGCCACTTTAAGACATCTATTTATTAAACTTAATATGACTTTTAAAACAGCCATATCCTTTCTCAGGCAGGCACAGAAACCTGTAAGAGGGAACCTTAAGGAACAGGAGAACTTTTGCATGAGGTCTGAAGCATTTTCAAAGGCCCACTTTTGACCCCTACCATTTACCACAGCTTTCTTCAACCTGTCAGACTTCAGGAACTTACAGAAGTTACAATCCAAAAGTACATACAGAGGGAAGAGAGGAGACAAAGAGAGGCAGAAAAAAGAGAAGAGAAGGTAGGATATTGTTAAAAGTTGCCCATGTTTAAATGGTCACAGGCTAAGTTCAGAATGGCGGCCTCATCTACCAAGGTGCCTTCCACCAAATGCCTCAGAATTTCCAATTCAACGTGGTATCAGGGTCAGTGCGTATTAAAACAATTAAATTAACAATTAAAGCAAGAGAGGTCAAACATGTCTGAAGATAGCAGGTGAGGGAAGAAAGATGGATTAAAACTAGTTTAAAAGAGATCTAGCATATGGCCAGACATGGCTCAGTGCTGTTTTTTCTCTTTCTTTCTTTCTTTCTTTCTTTCTTTCTTTCTTTCTTTCTTTCTTTCTTTCTTTCTTTCTTTCTTTCTTTCTTTCTTTCTTTCTTTCTTTCTTTCTCTTTCTTTCTTTCTTTCTTTCTTTCTTTCTTTCTCTTTCTTTCTTTCTCTATCTATCTATCTATCTATCTATCTATCTATCTATCTATCTATCTATCTATCTATCTATCTATCATCTATCTATCTATCTATCATCTATCTATCATCTATCTATCTATCGGGGTGTATTATTATTGTATGGGGTGTTCAGGGAGGGGTAGCACCTCTGGTGGAGGGCATGTCGTGCCCTTTTTTTAGGGCAGCTCGTACACCTTTGGTCCCCACCTGACACTCAGCTCTCACCTGTGGCTCCTAGTAGCTGTAACATGCACAGCGGCCACACCCCGGGCAACAGCTTCGACAGGCTGGCCAAACCAGGTTGAGAGTAGCCGTTGTGTCTTCGACATTCGGTGAGCAAGGGATTTGTCTATCCCAAGCATGTGAAGACAGACTCTGGCGGACTGAGCGGATGAGACCTATTAAAATAGGACCAACGATCATGAAGGCAGTTTCTGCAAGCGACGTGGTACGCTGAGAGCACGGCAAGACACAAAACATGCCCTGGTCAACCACTGCGCCCAGCCCATCTCCAACTGTCTCGACTTTTGTCCTGCCATTGGAACAAGATGGAATCTGGGAAGAGAGAGTGAGGCTGACTATGCGCACCTCTCCCTCACTTTAATCCAATTCACGTGCAAGTCTTGACATCTTGACTTTCCCTAACTCCCACAAATCTTAAAGTCCTGTGGCGATAGGCGAGCGGTGAAGCAGCAGGTGTGGAATCACTGGGAGCTGTGGACGCGGACCTGCACACAGGTGGCTCAGGTCTAATGGTCGCTTCTTGCTGATGAAGCCACAGCTGGATTCGGCGTCTATCTGAGTGACTGAGCAGCCCTTTTTAGGACCACACTGCTCACCTCCGTAGTATGAGGAAGGGGCTAGAAAATGTGCCCTAAACATTGTTGCTTCTTTTAAACCCTGTCCAGCCTACCGCGGTTGGAGGGGATCCCACTTCATGCGGCCGAAATACAAAACTTAAGACAAAACACAAGGTGTTACCACTTATCATTGGTACATGGAACGTACGTACGCTTCAAGACAACCCATTAGCAGATCGCCCAGAAAGAAGAACAGCTCTGGTAGCCAGAGAGCTTGCAAGATTTAACATTGACATTGCGGCCCTGTGTGAAACTCGTCTAGCCAATGAAGGTCAGCTCACAGAAACAGGAGGCGGTTACACTTTTTTTTGGTGTGGACGCAGCAGTGACCAACGTCGTGAGTCTGGAGTTGGCTTAGCGGTTAAGAACCATCTTGTCCGCCAACTTGCCAGTCTTCCTAAGGGTGTGAATGATCGACTCATGACACTGCATCTCCCACTACTAAGTGGAAAGCAAGCCACACTGATCAGTGCCTATGCACCCACAATGACAAATCCAGATGAAGTAAAGGACAAGTTTT